CAGATGACAAGATAATGGCTCCTCTGTGGGGAGATCGGGCCCAGGGACCCCGTCCCTATAACTGGGACCCATCCTAACTGACACTTCCCTGCACAGAGTGTGGAGCCAAGTGCAGGCAGGTGAGTGCTCCCTTGTGTTCAGTCTCAGGGCAGGAAACAGGAGAGCAGGCTCTCCAGCAGGAGAGGCGCCCAGAGCTGTGCTGTCAGCACCTTGGGCAGGACAGGTGCTCCCCGGCCTCGTCCTGAGCTGCCCTGTCCATGCCCTGGCTGGATGGCAGGTGGAAGGTGGGAATGTGCTGGGGTGTGTATCTGAGTGGGACCAGAGCCGTGAGTTCACTGTAAATCTCCCTCTGAGATTACTTCCACATCAGCATCTTCTGATTTACTAAGAAGCCCATCAAATTCAGTCTTGAAGTTCTGAGACAGTGTTTTGGTCTCCAGCATTTCTTCCTCGTTCTTCCTTAGAATTCCCCTCTCCTGCTCTCGTTGCCCAGCTGTTCCCGCAGTGTCTGCTTTATCCACTAGAGCCCTCAACACAGTGATCATAGCTGATTCACGTTCCAGGTCTGACCCTCCCAACATTCCTGCCGTGTCTGCATCTGATGCTCGCTCTGTGTCTTCAAACTGTTTGGGTTTGGGGGGTTTTTTGTTTGTTTTTGCATTTCAATGTGCCTTGTTATCTGGATGCTTGTAGTGGGTAAAAAGAGCGCCTGTTAAACCTTTAGTGATGTGAATGGAGTGGTTGCCATTTCATTTTCCAAGGGATCTTTACAACCTGGAGATCAAACCCAGGTCTCCTGCATTGCAGGCAGACCCTTTACCATCTGAGCCACCAGGAAGCCCATGTATAACTCCTACCACCATCTATTCCCAAAACTCCATCATCCCAACAGACCCTTGCTACTCATTAAACAACAACCCCTCTTCCCCTCAGTCAGTGCTAACCTCTATTCTACTTTCTGGTTCAATGAATTTGCCTACTCCAGTAACTTTTATAAGTGGAATCATATACTATTTTTCCATCTGTGCCTGGCTTGCTTCATTAAGCATGTTTTCAAGGTCCATTTGTGTTGTAGCATATATCAAATATGCTGCATATTTCCTTTTCACAGATGAATACTATTCCTATCAATATAGGATGACACTTTGCCTATCCACTTATCTCCTGATGGACCCTTGGGCTGTTTCCACTTACTGGTTACTGGGAACAATGCTGCTGTGAATGATGGTGTGCACATATGCCATCTGTTTTCAGAAATACTTTTTTATTGAGAACACAGCTATGCTCACCTGTTACTATATTGTCCGTGGCTGCCTTCCCAGCTGCATAAACACATGGAGTTGCTCAGTTGCATCTGGACCTATAAAACCTAAAATACCACTATCTGTCCCTTTACAGAAAAAGTTTGCTGATCTTTGGTCTATATGATGGGAGTTCAGTCAGAGACAATGGGATTAAACTATAGTGGAATTTTTCTCTTTGAAATAAGGAATGATTTCTGAGATTACCGAATGATGGGATTTACTAGCAAAAAGGACATTTGTCAGTAGATCTTTAAAAACTCCACAAAAACAAACAAACCAAACTTCTGTTGGTCTAAATTCAAAATAATTGCTGTGGTTACTGTATGATTTCATAATATATACTTAAAATATTGTCTTTGTTTACCTTTGGCCAATTACCTTGTCTCTTTCTTGACACCTGACTGATCCCTGAACCCTCCCCAACATGCATGGGCAATGTTTTGCTAAGATGGATCCCACCACAGAGGCCTGTAGGTGCATGTCCACCCTTATTATGGGGTGGGGCCCCCCCTCCCTTTTTGACCCCTGGGAAGCCTTCCTGCTCTTGTACAGACAGGGAAGTCTTCCTTGACCTCAGGCATGGGCACAGTATCTCTTTACCCCAGCAGGGCTCAGCTTCTGCCACTAGCTTTTTCCTTGGAGTGTGCATGAGAATAAACCTTCAGTTTTACTCCACTTGATGAACACCAGCTCTCCAGCCCGGGGGCCCCTCTATCTCCTTCCTGGAGGAGAGGGGAGATTCCACCTCCTACGATGAGGTCTCAGTCAGTCCCTGAGTGTGCCTCTGGACTGTGAACCTCCTGTGTCTCCATGGTTTTCTTCCCCTTGGAGGGGACAGCACAGCGAGAGTGGGCTGGAGCTGGGGATTTCCTTTCCCAGGTGAGTCAGGCTCTGTGAGAACCCCAGCTGGTTAGGCTCCAGTTAACTGCCTTCCCAGGAGAGCAGATTCAGGCAAGAAGAACCCAGTGCTACTGTGTGTGGTAATTCTGATGAAATATGAGTTTCAAGTGTGAATAACTGACTCTTGCAACTGTGTTGTAACTAGTTGGGCAGTCTTAAAGCTCACCAGTATTGTGCATTTTCCATTTCTTTCTTAATACATGCTTACAAGACGCAGGAACGTCTCTAAGGGGGGAGTGTATCTGCTACTCTGTCTCCGGTCACATTGTCATACACTTAGTAAAGAGTTTGTAACATCTATTATGCATCACACCATGTTACTGAACAAGTGATGTGGTTCTTTACTTCATGGAGCTTACATGCTGGTGGAGAATAAGGAAGTGCCAAAATAATAGAAATAAATACAATCAGAGTGAAAAGTGTAACCGGTATCATGCATATGTGTTCCAGGTTGAGCCCCTCCTGTGGAGCATGACCATGTGTCCCTTCTCGGAAGAGCAGAAAGCAGGAATTCTTTCCCAGTGTTGGTTCTGTGAGAAGACTGCATATGTCGACACCCACACAGCCCCCTTTCCGCTCCAGGCCACTCTGACGTCCTCTGCATGTCTTTTCACAAAGATGCCCTGAGAAACGCAGGGGAGGCGGCTGTGAAAGCCATCTTTCTGTTTCAGGTGGTGGCTGGGGCTCTGGGCAATGCCATCCTTTTCTCCCGCAGCGTCTCTCAGTCTTGCTTGGCCACAAGCAGAGACCAGCATACACGATTCTCATCCACGTGGCCCTGTCCAATCTTTTGTTTCTTCTGTCCTCTGGAATTCCCCATATAATGACAGATCTTCTTTTGAGAAATCCCCTGTCCAGCCTTGGATGGAAGTTTGTGTATTACATCCAGAGGGTGCCTCTCAGCACTGCCCTGTGCTCCACCTGCATCCTGAGCACCTATCAGGCCTTCACCCTCACCCCCAGGAGAGCAGAGTGGGTGATGCTCAGAGGAAGGGCCCCCAAGGTCATTGGTCCTTCCTGCTGCACCTGTTGGATGCTCAGTCTCTTAACGTATATCCTTGTTCCTCTGAAAATCACTGGTCCTCGGGACACACACAGCTATACTGAAACCTGGGGCAAGTGTTTCTGTTCCCCCTCAGCTCCTAATGCAGGCTTTGTCTACCTGTGGTCCGTCTCTGATGCCGTGTTTCTTACCCTCATGGTCTGGTCCAGCGGCTCCATGGTGCTTCTCCTGCTCAGACACCACCAGAGGGTGCAGTATATTCACACCCACACTGGACACCGCAGATGCCCCCCGGAGACCAGAGCCGCCCGCACCGTCCTGATGCTCATGGTCACCTTTGTCGTCGTTTACATACTGAATTCCACTCTTTGTTTTTATATCACTGCTGCTTTAGAGTTTCGTCTGTGGTTGATGCAGACTTCCGATGTCTTGGCCTCATGTTTTCCCGCCGTTTCCCCCTTCCTGCTGCTCCTGAGGGAGCCCAGAACGCCTGGGGTCTGCTCTGGGCTCGGCAGAAATAATGCTTAACGTGATAAATGGCTGGATACCTTCAATAACAACTAACTCTCTTCTTTAAGTATTGAGTGACTTTTTGTTAAAGTATAATAAGTGTGACATTATATCACTTCAGGACTTAGAACATTATGATTGAATATTTGTAGACATTACAGATGGGTTCAATAAGTCTTGTTAACATCTACCCACCTCCACACTGTACTGTACTGACGGAAATTTTTTCTTGTGAAAACTTTGAAGATTGATTCTCTTACAACTTCTCGTCATGTGACACAGTATACGTAACTCCTGAACCACTTGTACATTATATATCGGTGACTTACTCATTTTATAACTAGGAGTTGCTGGTGTTGAAGTCAGCACTGTGCTGTGCTGAGTCGCTCAGTCATGTCCAACTCTGCAACCTCATGGGCTGCAGCTCATCAGGTTCCTCTGTCCATCAGGATTCTCCAGGCAAGAATACTGGAGTGGGTTTCCAATTCCTCCTCCGGCGATGGAGTATTACATAGCCATAAAAAAGAGTGAAATCATGCCATTTGCAGCAACATGGATAGACCTCAAGAGCACTATGCTAATTGAGATAAACTGCACAGAGAACGAAAAGTACTGTGTGACAGCTTCTGTACGTGGAATCTGAAAAAGCCGAACTCATGGAACAGAGAGTGTATAGTGGTTTCCAGGGGCCGGGAGGTCAGGGCAGTGAGGAGTTGTTGGTCAAAGGGCACTGAGCTACAGTTATAAAATGAATGAGCTCTGAGGATCTGATGCACCGCCTGGGGCCGGGACCTAACAGTCCTGCACTATACACTTACCGTATGACAGAAAGTCAGTAAGAGAGTACATCTTCCATGTTATCATCACCAGCTGGGAGAAACGTTAATTCTGTGAGGGGGTGGAGGCGTCAACCTTCCTGTGGTAATAATTTCACAGTATATTCCCGTATCATAGTGCCATGATGTATGCCTCACATGCACATATTTTCCGTGTCAGTGACATCTCAGTAAAGCTTCCTGAACCCGTCACGTCTCTGGGGCTGCCCTGGTGTCCCAGTGGTTAGGACTTCGCCTTCCATCGCAGGGGCCGTGGGTTCCAGCCCCAGTCGGGGAGCTAAGATCCCACAGGCCTCTCGGACAAAAGTGAAACACGTAAGACAGAAGCAGTACTGTAGGAAATTCAGTAAGGACTTAGAAATGGTCCACATGGGGCGGAGGGGGATCCCTTTTAAAAGAAAGAAAGGCTCTGCGGCGTTCTCAGGGATTCCTGCTGGGGGCGCACACCGCGTCTGCCGGTCCCAGCCCCGTCACGGGCGCCTGGCAGGCGTCTCCCCGTCCGCGGACCATGGGCCTTGCGGTCGGTCAGCGAGTGCTTTGCGGGGAGACGTCCTGAGACGGCCCGTGTGCGGCCGGCGTCCCGGCGCACCTCCTCCGCTCCCACCCCAGCGCCCTCCCGCGTCAAAACGTCCGCCGTGGTCTCCTTTCGGCCTTCAGCGGCTACTGGCAGGAGTCTGTTGAAGCAAGAGATCTCCCTTCACCCATGTGTGAGCCATCGTTCGTTCTTTCCCTCGTTCATTTCCACTCATGCCAGAGAGACTCCTAAAGCAGCGGGGCCCCAGCAGCCTCTGAAAGCCTGAGGAGACCCGGACGCTGAAGGGCTCTTTGCTTGCTCTTATGTGGAGGATAATGGCCTTAAATATTGTGGTGGCTTCGGCCATACATCGACGTGAATGGCCACAGGCATACACGTGTCCCCTCCCTCCCGCCTCCCACCCCTCAGGGAGCACTGGGTCGAGCGCCTCGTGTCTTTCGTCGGACTCCCACTGGCTATCCGTGTTACATTCGTCAGTGTAGATGTTTCCGGGCTACTCTTTCAAGTCATCCCACGCTCTCCTTGCCCGGCTGTGTCCACAAGTCTTCTCTACGTCTGCATCTCTATTCCTCCCCTCCAAGTTGGTTCATCAGTACCATCTTTGTAGGTTCCATATATACGCGTTAATATATGATCCTTGTCTCTTTCTGACTCACTTCACTCTGTGACAGGCTGTAGGTTCAACCGCTTCACTAGAAGTGACTCATATCCTCCTTTTATCGCTGAGTAATATTCCATCACACACACACACACACACACCCCCCACGACTTCTTTATCCGTTCACCTCTCGATGGACACACAGGGCGCTTAAAGCTCCCTCTGAGTCCAGAGCAGGAGAGGAGAGACATGTTGAGCCGAGGTTGAAGTGTTCAGAATCCTGGTTGTCAATCAGTTTTCAGCCATTGCTCGTCCTGTGTCATCTGGGGTGGATAGCCACAGCCCACACAGCCTCCTGGGGGCGTAGCCAGCACCCAACGAACATCGGTAGGACTGGGTTGAATTAAGCAAGCTGGCAGTGGGTTTCATCCCCAAGTCACGTAGCAGAGTCACCTTGCTTGCTTAAAAAAGCAAGCACATTTGTAACTCAATCTACACAAACGTTATGATGATCAACAACTTGTTACTGGGCTTCCCTGGTGGCTCAGTGGTAAAGGACTGCCTACCAGTGCAGGAGACACAGTTTCAATCCCTGGGTTGGGAAAATCCCTTGGAGAAGGAAATGGCAACCCACTCCCATATTCTTTCCTGGGAAATCCCATGGGCAGAGGAGCTTGACGGGCTACAGTCCATGGGGTTGCAAAGGAGTTGAGCACAACTGACCAACTGAACAACAAAAACATGAGTTAGTCATGATTCCTCCAATTAAAAACTGAACTCTAGGGCTTATCCTACCCTTTCCCTCTTCTGTGCTTATAAATGTTCCACCAACAGTGAGAAACCTGCACCATATCCACCTCAGTCTATGTATCATCTGCTCAAAGGTGGCTTAGATGCTTATTAACTCAATGCCTAACCATCCTGCCTATCTTTTTTGTCTATATTTTTGGCTTGGCCAAAAAGTTCATTCAGGGTTTTCCATACATCTTCTGGAAAAACCCAAACGGACTTTTTAGTCAACCCAAGACATAACTGAAGAGAAAAAAATGAATACCTTCATATAATGAGAATAGCTACTGTGAATAGGAAGATTCTGCTCCAATTATACCCATTTGTTCTGTGTATTAAGTTTCACCTACTCAGGGTCCAAGTAAGTTTTCCCAAGAAAATTCTTGTTTGGGGAAGAAGTGGACTCACAGAAGTAAAGTGAGCAAGCTATTTACGACTTTGCAGTAAAAGTGAAGAAGATGCCTATAGTGTGGGGTTTGGGGTTCTTGACCTGAAAAGTGACAGTGGACAGGACCTTGGGTGTTGACAGTTCCTCATCCTAAATGGTGACTTGAGAAGACTCTGAGTCAGCCCTAAAAGAAATGAGGACATGAACACATACCCAGTAAGAAACAAAAGACAGCAAAAAAGAACAACTTCTCAGTGGAAAGCCTGTTGGAAACCCATGGCGGTGTGTGGTTGGCCCAGGGGTGGGGGCATTTCGGATTGTCACATGGGGTTGGTGTTGGGCAGTAGGAGCACTATATACAAGAAGGTGCTTGAGGCAAATCTCTTTAAATATACATATATATTTTAAATTATGAGAGTAGGATAACACATTTACAGGAAACCTGGAAAATACAGAACAAGATTACATATAGTTCTACTATATATTACAATTATTTTTAAGTGGATAAATTAAGATTTTTTATTTGGAGTTTCAATATCAAAAATTAATAGAATGAATATACAAAGAAGTAGAAAGTTAGAGTAGATCCAAAGAGCACTGTGAACCAATTCAACATAATTAAGATTTGCATAATTTTCACACAGCAACAGAGTACAAATTCGATTCAAGTTCCCATAGACTGTACACCAGGAGGCACTGGAATATATCCTGGCATATAAAACACGGTGCAAAAATGTCATGGTCTAAAGGTATTGACATCATACAGAGTCTGTTTTCTTACCACTGTGGAGTTATGTTAGAACTCAAGGTCAAAGATATTTGAAAACAACCCACGTATTTGCTGGGGGAAATTGAGGGCAGGAGGAGAAGGGGGCGACAGAGGATGAGCTGGTTGAATGGCATCAGTGACTCAATGGACATGAGTTTGAGCAAACTCCAGGAGATGGTAAAGGACAGGGATTCCTGCTGGGCTGCAGTCCATGGGGTCGCAAAGAGTCAGAGACGACGGAGTGACAGAACAGCAACATGTATTTTCAAGTGCAACGTGACATTTACCAAGAGAGATCTTCGACTTGGCCATCAAAAGCCACGTGAGGCAGATTTTTATAAAGCATCAGCGAGTAGATGTTTTAGAGTTATGGGCTGTGTGGTCTCTGCCACACCTATTAAGGCCGCCTTTGCAGGTAGACACCGCCCATAGACAAAGTGAAAACAGGTGTGACGGCGTCCCTACGAAGCGCTCGAATAACTGCCCCAATAAAAGGCATCTTCCTCCCGTGGAGGCCTGGGGGCATCAGGGATCCACAGCATTTTGAGGTGGGAAAGATGGCTTCAAAATGGGCTGCTTTCCAGATTAGAAAAAGAGCTCCCACCATAAAGAGCAGGATCCAGGGAGCGTGAAGTCACTGGAGCCAGACTCCTGCCCGGGATGGAGCTCAGGGCTGTGACGATGACGAGATGATGCCGCCCCGAGGAGCACGGCCCAGGAGAAGGTGCAGGAAGGAAGTGACTGGTGCACCTCGCCTGCCCCTTTAATGCCCAGTTACGCTTTCTCAGCTCTGATTTTCCACAGAGGACACAGGAGTGTTTCCACCTGCGGTCTGGCTGTGCAGTGAGGATCTTTAATTGCTTAATCACCCGAGGGGGATGAACAGCACGAGGGATAAAACCGGCTCCTTCCGAGACACGCGCCACGCTCGCTGTGCAGACAGCGTGGCCGACCCAGCCGCTGCGGGCGTGGTGGCATCTGGGGGGACAGCAGGTCTGGGGACCCCGTCCCTGTAACTGTGGACTCACCAGCCCCTGGCCCACCCTGGTCGACAGTTCCCTGCACAGAGCTCCGAAGCCAGGTCCAGGCAGTGTGCGCTTCCTCATGTTCAGTCTCAGGGCAGAAAACAGACAGGACAGTGGAAGTCTCGGAGAGGACCGTGGAGCTGTGTCTGGGCGCCGACCTTGGGCAGGACACGTGCTGACCCTGCCTCACCCTGCGTGTCCACACCCGGGCTCCGGCTGGACGACGGGGCGACTTAGGGAGCAGAGAGGGGTTTTAAAGTTCAACATTCAGCCTCCAATGAATAAAAATAAATGGGAAAAAAAAATAAAGTTCAACATTCAGAAAACTAAGATCATGTCATCCTGTCCCATCACTTCGTGGCAAATAGATGGGGAAACAGTGGAAACAGTGGCAGACTTTATTTTTTTGAGCTTCAAGATCACTTCTGATGGTGACTGCAGCCTGAAATTAAAAGACGCTTACTCCTTGGAAGGAAAGTTATGACCAACCTAGACAGCATGGCTGATTCATGTCAATGTATGACAAAAACCACTACAATATTGTAAAGTAATTCGCCTCCAACTAATAAAAATAAATGAATAAATAAATAAATAAACAAATAAAATGGAAATAAAAAAATAATAAAAAGCAGATACATTACTTTGTCAATAAAGGTCTATCTAGTCAAAGCTATGGTTTTTCCAGTAGTCATGAATGGATGTGAGAGTTGGATTATAATGAAGGCTGAGCACAGGAGAACTGATGCTTTTGAACTGTGGTGTTGGAGAAGACTCTTGAGAGTCCCTTGGACAGCAAGGAGATCCAACCAGTCCATCCTAAAGGAGATCAGTCGTGGGTGTTCATTGGAAGGACTGATGCTGAAGCTGAAACTCCAGTACTTTGGCCACCTGATGCAAAGAGATGACTCATTTGAAAAGACCCTGATGCTGGGAAAGACTGAAGGCGGGAGGAGAAGGGGCTGAGAGAGGATGAGATGGTTGGATGACATCACCGACTCAATGGAGATGAGTTTGGGTGAAGTCCGGGAGTTGGTGATGGACAGAGATGCCTGGTGTGCTGCAGTCCATGGGGTCACAAGGGTTGGACACGACTGAGCTACTGAACTGAACTGAACAGCATAGATTTTTCAGTTGCTGTAGCCAAAAGTGGCCACAAGGCAGCAATATTTCTTGCTCCATTGCTTTCTGGATTTTTTTAATTTGGTAATTTTTAAATTTTCTATAGAAGTAGAGTTAATTTCTGATGTGTTTATTTTAGGTGAACAGGAGCTTGACTGAATTATACATAGGTGTTTTATCTATTCTTCTTCAGGGTTTTTTCTCTATACCTTATCACAGTGTGTTCAATCGACTTTCTGTGCTATTCAGTACGTCTTTTTAAATTATCTCTGATATCGAGTAGTGTGTATATGTTAATTGTAACCTCTAAGTGTATGTGTCCCCCATAACTTTAAAAGAAAATAATCACATGCTGGTTTTCTAAGTCTGAAAGTGTTACTGTTTAGAATTTAGTTCATGTCTATGAATTTATAGATTTCATTTGTAAGTGATATTTTTAAGCATTTATCTTTCTCTGACTTTACTTAGTATGATCATCTCTCGGTCCAGCCATGCTGCTGCCAATGGTATTTTTTTTTACTTTTTTTTTTGATGGCCAAATAGATTCCAGTGTATAGATGAACCAGTTACTCTTCATTTTTCCAATAGAAAATATTGATGGACATTTTAGCTGAAGCTGTGTCTTGGCTATTGTGAACAGTGCTGCCCTAGAAATAGGGGTGCACATGTTTCAAATTAGGATATTTTTTAGTTCTAGGCCAAGAAGTGAGATGGCCGGAAAATGTGGCTTCTCTGTATCTAATGCTTTAAGGAACCTACAGATGTTTTCCACGGTGCCTGCACCCACCCGCTTCCCTCCCCGCCCACAGCGTAGGAGGATTCCCTGTTCCCCACGGCCTTGGCAGCGTTTCATCTTTGAAGATCTTTTGGAGGATGGCCATTCTGAGTGGTGTAAGGTGACACCTCGGTGTAGTTTTGACTTGCAGTGCAGTCTCTTAATAATTAGTAAGGGCTTCCCAGGTGGTTCAGTGGTAAAGAAAATCCGTCTGCTATCGCAGGAGTTGGAAAAGACCCGGGTTTGATCCCCGGGTTGGGAAGATCCCTTGGAGGAGGAAATGGCAACCCACTCCAGTATTCTTGCCTGGAAAATCCCATGGACAGAGGAGCCTGGCGGACCACAGTCCATGGGGCCACAAAGACTGGGACACAGCTGAGCCACTGTGAACATGCACACGACAATTAGTGAAGCTGCGTGGCTCTCCACGGACTTTTTGTTTCTTCCCTTGTGACTACAATTTACGTCTTCACACAGACTTCTTGAACATTGGCCCTGTTTTGAATTCTCTTCGCATGATTTACCGCAGGGTGGAGCGCAGTTTGTAGAGGGCTGATGTTTTTTCCCTTATGTCCCTAAGGCTTCAGTTCAGTTCAGTTCAGTTCAGTCACTGAGTCATATCCGACTGTGAGACCTCATGGACTGCAGCACGCCAGGCCTCCCTGTTCATCACCAACGCCCGGAGCTTGCTCAAACTCGTGTCCATGGAGTCTGTGATAACCAGCCATCCACTGTGAATATTAAATACCCATCAGACAGGTTTTTCTGTTGTTGCCAAAAGCGGCCACAAGACGGCAGCATTTCTCCATGCTCCACTTTTTTTTTTTTTTTTTTGGTTATTTAGTTTTTATTTTCTATTGGACACCAGGGTTCAGTCCCTGGGTTGGGAAGATCTCCTGGAGAAGGAAGTGGCACCCCACTCCAGTATTCTTGCCTGGAAAATCCCACGGACGGAGGAGGCTGGTAGACGACAGTCCATGCGGTCGCAAAGAGTCAGACCCGACTGAGCGACTTCACTTTCAGTTTCTATTGGAGTAGATTTGATTTCCCATATTGTGTTTGTTTTAGGTTTACAGGAACTTGATTCATTTATACATAGACACATGGATTTTCTTTTTCGGGGTCTTCCCTGTGCAATTCCGTAGGTCCTTTTGGATTATCTCCCAGATAACAGTGCGTATATATGTTAGTCCTAACCTCTTAATGTCTCCCTCCCCCACTTCTTTTTTTAAAAATAACAAGAAGTTGCTTTTCTAAGTCTGTGAATCTGTTTCTGTTTACAAATTAGCTCATTTGTATGAATTTATAGATTCCACCTGTAAGTGATAAATTCCCCTTTCCCTGACTTCACTCAGTATGCTAAATCTCTGGGTCCACTGATGCCGACAATGGCATGCTTCAGTTGTTTTTGATGGCTGAGTGTGTTCCAGTGTCTCGATGGACCAGTGACTTCGTTTCTCTGTTGATGAACATTTTGGTTGATGTTGTCTTGGATGTTGTCAATAGTGCTGCCCTGAAAAGAGGGGGTGAACCTGTCCTTTTTAATCATGATTTTCTCCGGATCTAAGGCAAGGAGTGGGCTTGCGGATCACGTGGGAACTCGACAACTGCTGTTTTAAGGGCTCTCCACACTGTTGTCCTTCGCGCTGCACCCACCCATTTACATCCCCGCCCGCAGTGCGGAAGACTGCATGCCCCCCACCCCCCCAGCAGCACTAATCTTTGTAGATCTTCGGCATGATGGCCATTTTGAGTGGGATGAGCTGATACCGCGGTGCAGTTTTGAACTGCATTTTCCTATAATAGTGACGCTGAGCCAGTGTCCAAGGGCTTTGTCTGTCTGGATGCCCTCTTGGGAGAATTTTCCATGTAGGTCTTTGGCCCACTTGCCCATTTGGTTGTTTGCTTTTTTAAAATTGAAAGAGCAGTCTGCATAGCTGTAGATGGTTTCCTTGTCGACCTCCTTATTTGCAAACATTTCCCCACGTATTGGTTGCTTTCTTTTTGTTGCACGCATGTTGGGGCGGGTCCAGACGCCAGTCGGGTGTGAAGAAGAGACAGGGCAATTGGCAAAGGCAAACAGAGGCCCGGCAGGATGGTCCTGGCTGAGGGTTTCCACCCCCTCTCCCCGGGCTCGTCATCCAGGATGGCCGCGCCCTCTCTCTCTGCACCTATCCCTGCCCCGCTTTTGTCCTAAACAAACTCTCCTCTGCGTGCTCGCCCACATGCAATGCCGTGTCTCCAGAAGTGAACTCCGTACCTCTTTTAACAGGTTTCTGTCTCTTTGAAACATTCATTGTTTCAGCGGGTCACTTGGCTTCTCGCCCCTGTCCCCTGCTGGCCTGGCGGTGAGGACTCCTGGTTCTCACCCGGCTCCCCAGGTCCAGTTCCTCACAGGAAGCCATGGCTGTCTTCAGCACCGCTCACTGCCCCCTCTCTCCAAGATCATGGGCATCTTTGTCATCACCGAGGATGGAAAAGGGATTTTTGATCATATTTTATGGCAGAATAATACTGCCTTTCGTGCCTGTAGCCCATCTTCTTTGTCCATCGTCTCTCCTTTTGCACGCAGCTTGCAGCTCTGACTTGTCGATACTTCTCAGTGCAGTCATCCACAGCGTGCAGGTGTCATCTAATGTCTGCACAGGAGTGGAGCAGATGATGTCATAAAATTTTCTATATGTCTGTATTTTTAAAAATGTGTTTATATTTGACTTCTGCTTGGCAGCATGTATCAGTTTCTGAATTACCGACAGTCCACACTTAATTTATATTTCGTAGAGAGGATTTCCTATTACGAGGTCTTACTGAGGACGTGAGCAAGGCCTAGCGAAGACCAGATTCACGCCTTATGAGGGCGAGAGTCACGGCTTAGAGAAAGAACATTCAGGCCGCAGTGTGGACCAGAGTCAGGCCGCAGTGTGGACAGGTCAGGCATCACTGTGGATCGGAGGCAGGCCTGAATGTACAGCAGACTCAGGCTTTAGAATGGAGAGTCAGGCCTCAGTGTGGCCCAGAGTCAGGACAAGTGAGTACCAGATCATGACTAAGTCAGGACAGGGCCAGGCGTTAGTGTGGACCAGAGTCTTGCCGGGGTCCAGCCTCGGCAGGATCCAGGGGATACCCTCAGGATGAACGGCATCGGCGAGAGAGAGAGAGAGAAGACACGTGAGACCAGCCTTGATAG